CGATTGTGTGGGCGAATTTCGGCCATTCATCGCAATTGATCTTGCATGTCTGATTGCATTTAAAGAGAGAATGCATCTGACCTGCCCATACGCGCGGGATGTGATCGGGACTGTTGGATCGTCAGGCACGCAGATCGCTCGCGTGACCTCCCGTGTGGCGCCGAAGTCAGCGTGTTTTGCTACGCTGGGTGCTCTAGTTCGCCATAGCTGCTGATTGGGCCATCCCACGTGGCTAAATTCCTCTTTTTTACGATTTATTCCCTAATTTCAAGTTTTCTTTCAAAAACACCCCATTTATTCAAAATTATTTTTAATTTTGTTTATATTTTATTTTTTCTCAATAATTTAAATAAAATTAAATTAAAATAAATTTTTTAATTATTTATATATATATATTTAATAACTAGAAAAATTATCCTGCACCAAATTTTCGGGTCTGAGTGTTACAATATATTCATTTAATATGAATATACAAAAATTCTTAATTTATTTAATGTGATTGTAAATAATAGTTATATATTTAAATATTTTAAATATAAAAATATATATTCAATATGATCCTTTTTTTGTGCAATTAATTTTAGTTAATTAAAAATTAAAAATTATATAGTATATAAATTTTTCATCACCTACTTTTCCCCTTACCTCATTTATTTTGTAAATATTTTATCAAAAATTAAAATATAATAATATTTTATATTGTATTAATTTTTTAAAATAATTTTTTATATGAAATAATATTTTATCTTTTTATATAATATATTTACATACTGTATAAAAATATTTTTTTTAAAAGGAAAAGTCAAATCAAATTAGTTTTGAAGTTAACATAAAGAAAAAATAAAAAAGTAAAACCAAACGGCTCATAATGTTTTCAAAACATTTGTCTTTCGCTAATTTATTAGTGGGGATATAGTTCTTTAATGCTTCTAGCAGGTCAAGTGGTTTCATGATTCTACCCTTCCCTTTGTTTGAAATCCCTGTTTTCATCATCTCCTTTGTTTGATATCAACCAAGACTATAAATAAAATAGGAGTCGTCATTTGCTTGAGAAGCCGTTCAACTGTTTCTTTTGTCATTTCTCTGTTGTGTCACGAGAGAATATTTGAACTTTTAGAGGGAGATCCAGTTCAATAATTCAGGATTGGAAGAGAAAAAAGAGCTGGGAAAGGGAAGCTGAACCAGTTTCGGGACATTGGGTCTCTATCAATTTTCTTCTTCTTTTTTTCCTCTGAAGAAAGCTGTGGTGCTGGGAGTATCTTTAGTTTGATGAATGTTTTCATGGTGAAACTTGCTCTGAAATGGGCTTTTTGTGGTGTCTAAATTCTTATACCCTTTGACCTCTTTACATTTTTTTTTTGTTTTTTTGTTTTGGTTTGCATTCAAATCTCACTTTCCCTCTGCTCTTGAAGTTTGAAAAAGGGTCTTTTTCTGTTTGTCTTTTAGGGTTAAAAAGATGCAATGAGAACCGTGAGCTGTTATTGCAGCTGTTGATGGTCTTTATGCAATTTTACATTTTCTTGGGGAAAAGGGACCACCGAGATCTGTCCTTTGAATTGTTCTTTTGCTTCTTCTTTCTTGTATAATTCTCTTTATCATTGTTCTGTAGATTGGGACTTCTTTTGCAAAGTAAACTCTCAGTTTTTCTCCTTACTTTTCCCCTTTTGACGTACTTTACTCCACATCACAGAATCTCGGTCAAAGCCTCATGCAGTCTCTGGGATAATCAGGTGTGTGTGAGAAATCTCTCCATTTTCATATTTCCGTCAATTGTTTTCTTCACTGCAAAAGTTAGGGAAAAGGGTGGTGAAAGGGACCAACTTGTCCTTCTGAAACCCAGCCTCTAATGCTTTTTGTGGTATGTTAATGGAGCACTGTCCTTTTGACTTACCTAATTCTTTTGAACTTGCCCTTTTTTTTTTTTCTTGTTGTTGGGTTGCAATCATATCCTCATAATATTGAGAGATTTTTACTTTGCTTTTTTTCCCTTTGCTCTATCTTTTGCTCTAACTTTTATGAACTGAAAATGTAAATAATTACTGTCAGTTATATTCACTCAACAAATTGCAAATTATGTGTCAATTTTTCATTCATATTCTTTTTCGACAGTTTTCCTATCTATATCTGTTAGTTGTATGTCTTGCATCAGAAGCCAAACTTTTTGAGCTCATAAGGGTCCTAATTTTGTTTGTATGGTTGTATTGAAAATGACTGGTAGCTGGGCATTCATTAAGTTTTGTTTGTCTATATTACATGTTCACAGGTGGCGCGGTGCTTTCTCTAGTACTTTATCTCACTATGACCTGCATTTCACTTATACTAAGATTATTAATGGCGAACCCCAATTAGATTTCCCAATTAACAGTATTCTAATTTTTTTATGGTAATCTAATTCTGGGATTTTTTTTTTCCTGCTTGTTTTCACAAGGAAATAGCTAGATGAATATATGGGGTTTTGCAGGCTGTTAGTTGATAAATGCCAAACTCTATTATTACACCATGTGTGACTTGCCAGTGATGCAATCTGCTTTGAGTCAGTAAGGCAGCACCATCGTTTTTCTTCTCCATCTGTTGCTTTTTACCCTTGGTCTTTTGCAATGCTCTACCTTCTCACTGTCCGACGGGATTATATGCAGAAGTGGTTGTACATCAAACTGCTCATCTCATGAAATTAGCCTTTGCGATCCAGAAATTCAGTTGGAGGTGAGTTGCTTTTGGCTTGTTTTTGAATTCACAAGTATCTGCTTTAATTTGTGTTAGTAGTTCTCTGATTTTCTTCTTCATGCTTGCATTTGGTTTTTTTTTTTCCATATTTGAATTCATTTAGTTTATTCTCATGTTTATCTGGTTGAAGTTTTATCTTCACAAAAAATTTTCCTTAAATTTTTGGGGTTCATTCTTGTACCCTTGATCGAGTACTAGTTTTTTGTGGCCAACTGGCACAATTCTGATAGATTGAATGGCTCTTTCCATGAATCAGTTCAAAATGAGACATTGGTGGGCGCATTTTTTGGCATATCTTCCATTAGTAGTTCTAACACATCTTTTTCCCCTTTTAGTTTTGAAATTATCCTTTATTTTTTTGCTCTAAATGTGCTAATTTGTGCAGGGGAGTAATCTCAGTGGGGAGGCTAGAAGTCCTGGATCCTGTGAGAAAAGCAATGCTTCTTATTGTACCAGATTTCAACTTGAGAGAGATGTGAGCTCCTCCAACATAAAACTTAGGAGCCCCACTGTATAACTGTTCACTGATTGCATTGCCTTTTGGATATGACATAAGGAAGCAAGTTGCCAGAAGGCACTTTTGGTTATTGCCCTCATTATGTAGTTCTCTACACTGATTGAGTATATATTATTTATAGATCTGTCATTCATTATTGAGGCATTTAAACCAGGTAAATAGACCATAGTTACCAGAGCTGATTCTCTCCTGTTATGACGTTTTCTTAGATCAATAGACACTGGAAGAACCCAAAATAAATATTGTAGAGCTAAATATTGTAGCTAGCATAAAGGAGCTCTTCCATTCTTATGTAACTGTTATTGAAACAGGTACAAAGATTACGAAAGCAGCTGCAAGAAGAGGTTGAACTGCATGCCATTCTGGAAAGAGCTATAGAGGAAAACACTGTTGAATTATTGAGCCCCTCATGTCTCCCACATCATGTATGCTGCTTGGTTGATTTTTTCTTTGAATTGGTTGTTTCATTGTGAGGCGATAAAAAAATTTTGCATTATTGATTAAATAAGCATTTTCCAGTAAATGATTTAATATTGTTAATGTGTTACTCGGATGTTTGTTTCATTTTTATACCTTATGTTACGGACACCGGGATATGGTTCCTCCTGATCTCTCTTTTTCATAGGTAATGTGACCTTGGGAAGGGTGCATACAGCATGATCATGTGTCATTGATATCCTAATTGGTGCTGTTCCTTATAATCCCAGTGTTAACTTTTACTTAGTTTTACCATCAAACTCAAATATGTAAGGCTGTTCGGAGCAACTCTTGCATCAGCAGATCGGTCCATCTTCTTAGCTGATTTTTAGCTTTGAGAATTCACCTGACAGTTTCATTTTCATCCAGACTATGTCGGGCTATTTAGGTAGTTTAAGGGTAGTCAAATAGGATAGATGAAGGACTTATGTTATTATTCGGGATGGAATGGAGATTAAGTAGTATAGTGTGTAAGAGGATTACCATAAGACCCTTAAACTAAAATAGCTAAAATTTCTTACATAGTTAATTTTTAATGGATTTAAAATATGTTAATATAATACCCTAGAAATATTGTTGGTTTAATTTATAAAAATGATTTCATTATACTTCTTAAATTATTAATTCAATAATAAACAAAAATAAAAAAGCCATGATCGCTGTAATATGGGGTATTTCCTGCTAGATTGATACTGCTGATGATCAACGGTTACCAATGTGATGACAAAGATGCCTAAATCAATTGTCTATTTTATTTCCCCTCTCTGATAGGGTTACAGGACAATAGTTTCAGGCTGCATACAATTCCGGCTGGCGTTTGCATGCTGTCCATGGTAGAGTTAAAAGAACTATAAACTAAGCAAAAAGAATAAGCATATAAAGATCCTAGGTCTCTGTGATTTGATGATTTGTCTGGCAACAGATACCTTGAACTTTACATGTTTGACATCCAATTATGATATTGAGTGCATTTCTCCTTATTTGCTTTTACAGTTTATGCATTCCACTGGAAACAGAAGACAGTTTTCTGTTTGTATCTTTTCATTGTTTTAAATCAAATTTGCTGATTTCTGCCCAAGCTCAGAGCTTCTATCCAATATTGCAGTTCTGGAGATACAGTCTCAAACTA